GTTGGCATTAAAGACTTTTACCATCTGTTGGATTTGGTGCCCCGAACCATGAATTGTTCAAAGATTCATCAAGGTTGATACCACTTCAAAGCATGAGAAGATAAGGACAGTACAATACAGGACCTCGATGCTAGTTTTGAGCTGATAGATTAAAGATTATGCATTGACTTCAGCGACAAGGAAGCAGCATTCATTCGAGAAGTTAATGTGAAATATTGTTGCACTTTGACTTTCTGAAATATAAAATTATTTTAAACTACCTGAAATCAACAACTTTAACAAATTGCTAATTTAGCAAAGTAGTGGAACTTCACTGATCAATTCTCATTGTCAGCCGGTATAAAACTTTTAGCGAAAAATTTAGAAGTCGTTTTTCAAATATAACTTAAGAACACCAAATCGATGTTGTTCTAAAGACACGTGGATGGTACCTTAATAATTTATGAAAAAATATAGAACTTTTATTTTCATCGTATGTGGACCTTCTAAAACAAGATGAAATTCGCCATCGTAATAAAATAAAACGAATTTTGTACTTTTGCAAATGTGAAGAAAAAAGACTCTTACAAAATCGAAGCCTACCGCAGACAGAAGCACAGCCAGCTACTTCTTGCATTGGAAGTTGAATCATTCGTATGGAATCGAAATGGCACGTTCCCGTTCATTCGTTGTTTCTTAGTCAGCGGGTACCTAAATTGAAGTTTTGATGAACACGATACTTATAATGAGATAGGAAGGACTTAAGAAGTAGGGTTTACGGTGCCCTTTAAAAAGAATTCATTTGCGACCAAACGGACAAATGTAGATGTCAAAAGAAGAAGGAAAAGTAATTAGTTTACCAGCAAGGCGATATGCCCGTCCTTCCAACACAACTTAAGCGAAACGCTATCTCCAGATACTGCCTAAAAGTATTGTTCAGGCTTGAAGCCACTCTTGAGGACCAGTGGTATATGCAAAGACTGAAGAATTCTAAAATCAGAAACGAGGATTGTTGCGAATATGGCTGTTAATTTTAGCAATACAGGTAATGCCTTGCCAGCAGTAGGGAAAGAGCATATTTTTGATCTTGAAAAATTGAAACGCGCCAGTTAAAGGGAAAGGCAACGGACGCCAACACCATAAGTCTGTTGAAGCGCAGAGGCGTGGTCATCAGCAGAGGTTCATGATCATAGTGACCACGTAGCTGCTGTAAACACAAGCAGCCGAGTCATGACGAAGACATATGAGATATGTGGACGAACAAGTTAGTCATCTCCAGAGGGTCCACCGATTTGGATCAAGTTAATCATGCCACCGCTACAGTTCAGTGGCACAAAGTCATAATCCTACCAATACGCTACCGATAATAACTCAATGCTCGTTCATTCAACAGTATACGGCAGCAAAAGCTTCAGGCTCTGACCATGTCATGAAGAAGAGCAGTAATCTCTTGAGAAATTAGTAATTTTGGTTTCTGTTTATTGGTATGGGATCGATGAAACGTTAGCGGATGCCATCAGAAAATGAGTAGAGGCTGATGTCATTCACGCGACGATCATCTTGCTGGGTCTCTCGAGGTCACATATAACTGTACGCCATGCAGCGTACATTACGAAGAGAAAGGGATCGAATTGCATTGCTCGTGCGCTCCGTTCAAACAGGATTCTCATTCTGAAAGAAAGAGCGAGCTGTGAAGCAAGTACGGGGTTCGCTTTTCAATTTTTCAGAGATGCAGCTGTAGTCAATAAGCCATCACACCAGCAGGGCCTTTACAGTAAGCCGTTAAGTCACTAAAAGTTAGTAGTTCATTCATTGATCGCATTTCAACCGCTAATTGTAAGGTGCTTGAGGTCATTATTGCTGGTTGTTGCGTGAATCATTAATTTTAGCGTTACAAGGTGGAGAGAAATTATGGCTTCTCTCACACCAACAAGCCAGTCGCACCTTTTAGACCTTCGCTTGTACACGCTTAAATATTTCGGTACTGGAAACCATAGGTTGGGCTGTGGGTTTTTGACAATGATTATTGCTTTGCGTTGCTGCAACGGTCACCAAGGTATAAAATGATCTTGGAACGCTACACATGGACAATTTGAATAGATCCGCTACCTAGACTGTGTCCAGCATTAAATAGCAATGACAGAGTGATCCGTTTATATTGAATGTGTTTTTTGACCTTAAAGATTGACAAGAGAAGTTCAGATATGATGACAATTTAAAAATGCTGAATGATTAAAAAACGTAAATGATCTTTGCCAACGAAAATGTTTGAATTCTAGTATTTTCGTGCAATCAGAACATGAGCGACAACCTCTGAAGAGTTGGTTAGACAAAAGATCCGCAACTGCATATTCTGCCATATTCTATGCAAAATCTTATAAAATGTTAGAACTAAGCAACTAGTGAAAGCACTAGTTATAATTGCAATGCTTAAACAGTTATGTATGTGATTATTATATTTTATTTGAACAAACATGATGAAAGAACTCTAGAATTTAAAACAGTAGGACTAGCTGATTCTTTAAATTTTTCGTCTCAAGTTAACAAAATTCTCACTTGATATTCAAGAAGGTAAAAAGAGCACCAAACTACTTTGGCAAGGTAATTAAAGGAATCTGTTCATGCACAGTTATGCAAAATAGCTAGTCTCTCGATTTTGGCCATTCAGGAAAGGCTTGAAAGTAAATGAAGCAAGAATCTTCCAAATAGTTGTTGAACGGAAGACATTTTCAAATAGATTGGATAACTGGTTCAGTGGAGCTACAAGTTTACGAACAAGAGTGAAGTATTGGGAGGGGAGGAGAGTGTTTGACACAGTACTCAGCACTTCAAAGTCAATAATTTCAGCAGATATTCAAAAGGTTGACGATATCATTCTTGATTTCTGACTACCGTTTCCTGTCCCAGTGTGAAAATCATTAGTTTTCGTTCAATTCTGAATTTCACCTGGTCAACGTCGATTAGGTCTCCTCTTCAAAGTGGTCGCCCTTTATTCAGAGAGCAGGCAGCTGATGAACGATACTATCATGTTCGAAAATCCAGTCGATAGTCGCAATCTTTACATTATCTCCCTGATCTAAGGACATGAGGAAGGCTGTCAGATCATGATACTCATTGCCTCTTTAGCCGATCATTTTTTGGTTCTTCGTAAATCACTGTAAAAACAGCAAGTAGGGAGAATATCTCCTGTCATATGCTGCCCTGACGTGCGTCAACTTACTTCGTCTGCTGCTCGCTTACCACACTTTGGACGTATAGGTTAGTTTATTGCATAGCTGTTCGCACCGACTACTCCCATCAAATGAGGATGAATGAAGAAAAATTTTGATAGCGTTCTACGCTATGAAATAATTGTCATCATGGCGTTATGTTTACGAGTCTTCTTTTAGAGCAAACTCTATCATAGACTATGCAATTATCAGATCAGTCCGGATGTTCATCAACTCTTCAGGCAATCCGCCGCGTGTTGGGGGGATAAAACTGCCAATGGTCAAGTCGACTGGCGAATGTCTCGTTACTGGTAGTTGCAGTGGTAGAAAAAGTATGCTTGAAACGACTGGAACATCGTCATAAAAGTCATTTCACATACGCCTAATTTTCGGACGTTCCCTCGCGACTTAGTCGGCTCCAAACGCATCATTTGCAGTTCGTCCGCACTCTAAATACGCCGTCCGGCGGATAATGCTTCGAAGAGCGGAAGTGGTTGTAGCATACTCGGTGAATGCCTCAAGGAGGGTTGGATGACGAGGTTGTGAAACGAAGCCGCATCGTCCATCGTAAAGATCGCCGAAGCAACTACTACCGAGGAATGTTCCCCTCTGCCTTCGCCTCGTCCTTACCCTCTCCTTCGCATTCTGATATATCGACTTGGAGCAATGCTCGGCCGTCACGTGATACGTTATCCCGTCCCGCCGTCTCCGCCAGTGGATTGCCGCTATTCACATTTGTCAATATTGCCCGGCCGACAAACTGAGTGCTAGAGCCACGATACTCGCAGAAAAGGCAGGCACTCGACTCAACGGACTCGACTCTGTGCGTGTTGAACCGTGTCAGCGTAGCGGCTGTTCGTTGTCGTTGTCTGCCTTCCGATATCGTAACACATTCGCCTGAACACGGTCACAATGACCCCTGTCCAAGCGTGGGCCATTTTTACTTCGCGTCCGCATCTCTTTCTTTCGCGATGTCGAGGTAAGCACCTTACATGAATCATCGATCGATTTCAATAACTTCGGTAATATGACATGCATTTGCGCTTACTTTTACATTCAAGACCTAAATCGCCAGCGGCTAACTACTGCCAGACTGTGCAATCATTGCACCAGAGTGATACACTAAGTGATACGATAACAGAAGGCATCTATGCCATCTTCTCTCGCCTAAATGACGACGTTTATGTCGACGCACAATAGCCACGACCAACTTGTAAGTGCATTGCTTGGAAAATTTCCTTCTAGTTTGCGCCCTTAATCTTTACATGTAAATTTCTGGAACAACATTCAAAAACAATTTGAGTTAGCGATCTCTAATACGGTACATAATTTTTCAAATGTTCTGAATGCGAACTTGTTCAGCATCCCTATGGCCTGTGCCTGGTCTGTTATTCATTACAGATTAAGTATTCGAAAATATTCTTCAGGGTGGAATCTTCTGTGTTTGCAGAAGTAATCCAATTTGATATAATTCAACAGCCATGTTCGGCTAAAGTCTAGAAGACTTTATGCATATTGTGGTTCCTCTTGAGAATATGATCACCTACATTTCCATTCCTTCAATTTCCCGGTATAATGGAGTACCATCCTCTTATACAAAATGGCCCTGAAGGTATGAAGATTACTATGAGTCGTCAATCACTGTTCCATTATCTACCAACTGCTTCAGCATTTATCGCATGCCTACATGCTTGCCTTGACGATAGCGATGAATATATTCTACCGTATTCATCGTTGCTCTCCACAAATTCCTCATCGGCGTTAACGTGGCAGAGAGCAGAAAATGAGTAGCGTAAGCAGTCGCGGCTTGGGTGAATAACGATGGTGTGTGTTTTCCTTATTGGCGAATGTGCCATTATCCCCAAAAAAGTCGGTCAGCGAAGCAGTGACAGTCGAGGGTTGACAGACATATTTTGCCTTGAAAGCAAATCTGTCTGGGAGAAGGGTACTCTGACTACAAACACGGACAGAAGGACTGGAGGTCACCGTTCATATTAAATCTAAACGAACATTTATGAAACCTTTCCTCGGTGTCCTCTTCTCTCTCCATGGAGAATACGGCATAGGACAAGAAAAACGTAAGACGCGAAAATTCTTAGTGCATTATATTAAGGCATGAAGTGAAAATTAAGACCCTTTGCGTCATCTTACTGGTCAAGATTTGAAGTACCCAGTGGAAAAGCTCTACATGCTTTGGAAAATAATGCAAAAACTGGAAATATGCTTATAGTGGCAGATCTGTATGACACAAAATTTGACTTTTGCAGCAGCAAATCAAGAAAATATCAACTTAGGACACCATCTCTACTAGATCAGACATAAAAATTTTTAGAAGAAAAACCCTTCTAGTTACTCGATGGTAGGCTTTAAACGACAAGAGTACCAACATGACATAAACTTCTGTAAATAAGCCACACTTTTATCTGAGACTATCTTCATTCAAAGTTACTCCGTAAGTAATAAGTGATATGCTCTATTCAAAAGTCAAGCTGACAGTCATCGTGATTCACTACTGAACGTGTTTTGAGCTACTCCAAAGCTGTTCTAGAGTGCTAATTTCTACTAGTTGTGTTGCTTTTTTCGGGTTGATGTTGACAGTCTATATAGCCTGAGTGGACAGCATACGCTTTTCGAACTTAATGAGCATCGATCATTCATGATATGGCCAGTTTCGGTTTGCATCGATGACGGGTTTAACTACTCCAAAAAGTAAGAATCTTGAACTGATGCGCGGTCAGTCAACTCTCCAGCTGTCACCAGTGACGTTATTCTCTATAACCTCGAATTATGCGAAGAGAGTCTCGATTCAGTGCATTTCTCATATTTGAAACGATGAGTATCGTGGCTTATTTGAACGTTCTTCTGTAATTACGCTGCCACTCAATCTACTCGGTTTTGAAATCTCTGCAATTCTGAATCATCACGGGTGGCTGAAATCAATGTTACCATAGTTTCCAGATTGTCGGTACATCTGATTCATTTTACCGACCACTTCAGGTATCGTCAGCGTCAAACATGGAAGTTAAACAACATAAGAGAGAGCACTGAACTCTGTAGAAGACTGAAGCGATTCTGAAGTGGCGGGGAATGCTGCATGCTACAGCAACGAACAGTGACCTGCTAGACCGATGGTCTGTCTGTCATCTAGCAGCTTAGGACTTATGTCCACATCTTGAAGTCGCGTCAACAGAGTTCATCTAGACATAACATTAAATGGCGAAGACAAATAAAGAAATAAGACTTTCGAGATATGCTTCTGCTGTACAACGATGAAGTCACATTCAGCAGGGGTGACAACGATATCAGCGGTTGAGCAACTGGATGTGAATGCACACCGTTATGGAGGAGCGGTGGCACAGTGGCAAAGAGGTCTGTAGAGAGAACTGTTGAGATGCCTTCGAATTTCAAAAAATGCAATATTAGTTTTAATCGCAAATTCCATTGAGCAAGAAATTCACCACACATTGCTTTGGTGCAGCCAGTCGAGAAACGGGTATCAAGTCGTTGATTTGCGAACAATGAGGACAGCATTGAGTTTTGGTGTGGTCATATCACAATGGGCATGCTGCCTGAAATGAGCGCCTCATAGGGCTGCTATTCGCCTTGACCCACCTGATAGTTGCTCATTCAATTTGACAATCAGCAGAAGGTGCAATCCCTGCAGCTGTTGATCTATTTTTCATTCCAGGTTTCCAATCAGTAAACAAACACATGCCTCTATAACTTTGGGCAGCTCAGACGTTACTGTCACTGGGAAATGGTCTTACGGATTTGTTTCAAGACATCTTCCTGGTACTGAATAAAGCCTGGCCATACATCAGAACCCAAAGATTGTTCCGTAATAGGAACATTCAATAAAATGCTGCTAATGATGCTGACGAGTTCAACTTGACAAAGTTTTATGAGTTTTCACATAACTTCGTTTGGATCACAGGTGCAGCGTGGCCGCATGGAAGCCAAGCAATGCACATTGTATTGAAAATAGTGAACTGTTAGTGGTGTCCCTGTGGTTAGGATTCTGCTACAGGGAAAAGCTCTGCAAGTGCGCCAGTTTGAGAATCGCAGCATGAATTAGTTTTAGCATCCTGACCGCGGTTGGATGTTTGAATACATTTAAAGCTTTTCTCTCTTGAGGTCAGCGCACTGGGCGCAGATGGCAGATGCATGGATGGACAGCACAAAATGTAGAAAAACTTCGTTGAAGGTGACCTGCTTGCGGAGAGGAACAGTACCTTGGCCACCGCAGTGAACGTTGCCTAATATCAACCTGAACTACCATTTCTAACGGTCACATATCATAAATCTGGGTTACTCTGCCGTGTAAGCTCTGCCAACCTCAGGTGACGATGACAAAACAACAACAAAAACTATCACTTTGCATCTGCCTACGTAATACATTGCATAAGTCACGGTTCCAATTTCGTACACCCTTTCGCGCAGGTGATAGAGAGATCTTAAAGTTGGAATAACCGTGATTTTCGAATTGAAATAAATTTCACGATGCGGAAGCAGATGTCTCGAACAAAATGTGTGATAACATGCAGTCCACTCGTTCGTCAAAAATGGCGCTCAAGAACATGAACCAGCCAGTTTTCGCAAATGTGTCTCATCCATCTGCTGCACATATGACTTTATAAACAGGTGACATTGCCAGTGGACGCATTTTGGTGTTGACAGAGATCAACCCATGTTTTTTTAGACTTGCGGAATGGCGCCAGTGAAAAAATATTGGAGCCGCTAATCGAACACCCTGTTCTCCCTCCATCCCCGTCATATTATGTCTGCACGTTTGCGAATTAAGAGTTCAGTTGGTAATTCGAAATGGTAAAATTTTCGTAATGTAAAATGAATGGATGACATGACTGTTATGCAAGGAAACGAAAAGAGACTATGATATGACAAGCATCATCTGCAGCGCAATTTCTAGATCGTTTTCCACCTTCTGTTCCATGCCTAATGTACGAATGGAACTGAAGTTTATTTATTTGCAAAGTACGCTTTACTTGTATGATTCCGGATAGAACCAAATGGAATTTCATTTCCTACAAGAATTATGAAATGTAGCATAAATGCAGTAGCAGCATGAATGCACAATCATATGCAGTACTACAATATAGTGCAGTTATAGCTTATTGCCAGTTCTAACACCAGTAGCTTAGGGATGAATAGGTGCCGGAGGTCGTTCAACAGTTTATGAAATGATGCCAATGTAATATGAGCTCCGAATAGAATGTTCAGTCAGCACATTATTACCGCGGTACTACTACTACCAAAATAAGAAGAACATTATCAGTGACGTAGGTAAATAAATGATTAGGTCAAAAGTAAAAGAAGCTTCGTGGTAGTAAGCTTAATAACAAAGTAGATCAGATGAGATTAAGACTGGAGCTAATTTAGTGACTAGCTAAGCTGGCCAGCGTTACAATAACAGTATTACATGTAGGACATAATTACGCATCATGCAGGATCAAAATAATTTCATAAGTACATGAGTTCTGAAATAACAAGTTTTTAAATATGTTTATACAAAATTAGATCAGAAATTAGGAACGCCAGTGCCTAAAATATCATGAGCTAATTAAGCTAGTATTAAATTAAGAGATGCAGTATCGAAAATAGTCCAACATAGAAGAGAAAAAAATTTGTATTGAACAGATAAAAATTTAGTCGTTTTTACGGTAAATCAGTAGTCGAGTATCAAACAGTGCGCTAATCAGTTTGTGACATGTTGGCCATTGGCACTCAAAATAGGGTAACCATCTTATTGAGACTTCTTCCGGACCTCTTGAATGACTTTTGCAAAAGAGCCCAATCAGAAACTTCGTCAAATAGACGATACTAATATAACTCATTGATCCGATTGATTCCTTTTCAGAAACCGCTACATCTTCTAGCAGAAAATTTAATGGTCCATTATAGCAGAAGGATAGCTATATAAGTTTATAATAAAGTTCGAA